GAACCCGGAGGCAGGGTGCGCCCACGCCAAGCAGCGAGCGCCCTCGGGTGACCAAAGATTGAGTCCGAGAAAGCACCAAAAAATTGACACCTCTCCCCCACCAACCTGGTGACAGGGAGAGGGGGAGCTCTGGACCCTAGTTCTTCCCCAGACACAACTTTGATTACTGGTTTCCTGCTGACTTTCCAGTAGCTTCTATGCAAAAACAGTTTTAACGATGAGAATATATTTTTCATTGATATTTCTTGTCACACCAATCAGAGCTGACTCTCCACGCTGTTCGGCATCTCGCTTCTTCCATGTAACAGTAGATCTTGAGGTTCTCCCCTCCCTCCCGCTAGCTCTCGCTCCCAGCTGCTGTTGATGTCCGCGGCTCTGAGTGTCCATGTTCCTTGTCCCCAGTCCCCCGGTCTCAGACACAGGCATGTAAGGATATGCATGTGCTTACACATACGAACAGAAGCTTTCTGAAGAAAAGTGTCGGGAAAGAGACTGTTAGATGTTAGGAAACATTTATAAAGTGCAAGTCTGCTGGTCTTCCTGTGTTGCCCCAATATGGCCGGAAGCCTTTCTCCAGGCCGGGAGGCCTTGTTCGGGAGACTCTGACTGAAGATAGCTGTCTTGGTCAACTGGGGCTGCCAAAAATATTCCACAGACTGGGGGCTTAAACAACAGACATTTATTTCTTAGAGTTCTCACACACATTTTGTGGTGGTTGCAAGTAGAGAGCTAATAAATTTTCCTATCTTCCCTGAAAGAACTTCTCTCCACGTCAAGAACTAGAAGGAGGGGGCGGGCCCGGCCTCAGCAGCAGAGACGTTGGTGCTGTGCCGCCCCCAGAAGCAGCAGCATCCGGCTGGCAGCTGACACCGTCCTCGCTGCTTCTCCAACCACCACAGCTGCAGGCCAGCTCCCTGCCTCCGCCTCCTGGATGGGTGATGGAGATGCTCGAGCACCAAGTCACCCCCGCCTCCTGGCAGCACCCGATCCAGAGCGCCCCCCTTACTTGACCCATCCCGCAAAACACCTAACACTGGCCCAAGTCCGAGACGACCCCTCCTACTCCTCCTAAGACGCCCACGGCACCCTGTGTGGTCTCCCTGCCGCAGCAAGTCAGTGCTTCCTACTTTCGGTGTTCCGGGTCTGTTCTGGGTGGTCTTTGGCCAAGCTGTGCAGCAGCCCCTGTCCAGTTCCAGAATGTCCAACAGTGGATGAGGCCATTTGTAGACGACGATGGCACCTCAGAGCCATCAGGCCAGAACATCCTGGGGACACTTTAGAGTATGGGTCCAGGCTGAGGCCAGAGAGAAATATCCCTCGAAGAAACCCCAGAAGTCAGCTCTTGGCTTGGCACCCCACTCTGAAAGGGCCACCCCACTGTCAGCGCCTGCCAGTGGCCAGAGTGGTCATCTGACCAGCGCCCACCACACCAGGTGGTTAAAGGAGAGCCTGCTGCCTTTGGCCAGAGCCTCCTGCCAGACTGTGAGCAGGACTAGTGGAACTTCTGGAAGGAGTGGGTGTCGGCCCAGCAGGTGGGCTTTCTGGAGTGTGGAGAAGCCTGTGCCCACCCCCAGTTGTGTCCCCATCCATCCGGTGGCACCTACAACTTCTTTAAGTGGGTTCCTGCGATGTCGTGAGAGAAGCCGTCTTCTCCGGTTCTATGCCACAGCGCAGGTCCACAGCTGTGCCCCCACCCATGCATGGTCTCCCCCATTATCAATATCTCCCAACAGAATGGTGCATTTGTCATAATTAATGAACCTACATCGACATATCACCATCACCCAGAGTCCACAGTTTACATTAGGTTCACTCTGGGTGTTGTACATTCTGTGGGTTTGGACAAATGTATAATGCCGTGTCCATTATTATAGCATCTTACATAGTAGTTTGCTCTAAAAATCCTCTGTCCTCCTCCTATTCATCCCCCTCTGCCCCCCAAACCCTGGCAACCACTGATCTTTTTACTGTCTTCATAGTTGTGCCTTTTCCAGAATGTCATATAGTTGGAATCATACAGTATGTGGCCTTTTCAGATTGACTTCTTTCACTTAATAACTATGTCCTTTCATGGCTGATAGCTCATTTCTTTTTGTGCAGGGTAATATTCCATTGCCTGGATGGACCACAGTTTATCTATTCACCTACTGAAGGACATCTCTGTGGCTTCCGAGTTTTGCCAGTTATGATAAAGCTGCTATAAACATCTGTGTGCATGTTTTTGTGTGGACGTGTTTTTAACTCCTTTGGGTAAATATCAAGGAGCACATTTACTGGATCGTATGCTAAGAGTGTGTTTAGTTTTATAAGAAACTGCCAAATTGTCTTCCAGAGTGGCTGCACCACTTTGCATTCCCAGCAGCAGTGAATGAGAGCGCCTGTTGCTCCACATCCTCGCCAGCATTTGGTGCCGTCAGTGATCTGGATTTTGGTCATTCTAATAGGTGGGTAGTGGTATCTCACTGTTGTTTTAATTTGCATTTCCCTGATGACATATAACGTGGAATATCTTTTCATGTGCTTATTTGCCATCTGTATATCTTCTCTGGTGAGGTGTCTGTTAAGGTGTTTGGCCCATTTTTTAATCCAGTTATTTGTTTTCTTTTTTTTTAATTGAGATATAATTGACCTATAACATATTTAGTTTCAGGTGTACAACATAATGATTCGATATTTTATACTGTGTGAAATAATCACCACAATAAGTCTAGTTACCGTAGTTACAAATAATTTTTTTTTCTTTTTTTGTGATGAGAGGACTTTTAAGATCTAGTCTCCTATCAACTTTCAAATATACAATACAGTATTATTAACTGTAGTTACCATGCTGTACACTACATCCCCAGGACTTATTTATTTTATAACTGGAATTTTTTACCTTTTTACCCCCTTCACCCATTTCACCCCCCCGCCATGGCAACCACCAATCTGTTCTTTGTATCTCTGGGTTGTTTTCTTATCATTTAATTTTAAGAGTTCTTTGTATATGGTGGATAACAGTCCTTTATCAGATATGTCTTTTGCAAATATTTTCTCCCAGCCTGAAGATTATCTTTTTATTTTCTTGACATTGTCTTTCACAGAGCAGAAATATTACTTTTAATGAAGTCCATCTTATCAATTCTTTCTTTTGCGGATTGTGCCTTTCATGTCACATCTAAAAAGTCATCACCAAACCCAAGACCATCTCAATTTTCTCCTGTGTTATCTTCCAGGAGGTTTGTAGTTTTGCATTTTACATTTGGGTCTGTGATGCATTTTGAGTTTTTGTGAAGGTGTAGGGTCTGTGTCTGGATTCAGTTATTTCACATGTGGATGTCAGTTATTTCACATGTGGATGTCCGGTTGTTCCAGCACCATTTGTTGAAGAGACTGTCTTTGCTATACTGTTTGTCAGAAAGACCAACTTTTCACTGTATATTTCCTTCTGAATGTTTCTGTTGGTATCAAGGTAGATGTACCTTTTCAAAAAAGAAAAAATTAATTAATTAGCTAACTAATTAGCAAAGGTCGTTGTCGGTGGGGGCTTCTCTGCTTGGTCCTTCTGTCGCCCCACCCCTCCCCCATATTTGAAATGCTTCCTGTGAAGCTTCCTCCTCTATACAGGTATCTTTGTCTCAATTACTGGTTCAGTGATGGAAGGGGAGGCTGGTCTTTAAAGAATACAGTCTTTAAAAAGAGGCATGGTGTTCTGAAGGAAACTCAGATTGAAATGGTTATTAACAGGTACAGTGATCTGGGTTGATGAAACAATCCATGGTACATGAAGGTGAGTACTTTCTCCTGAAGGGTCAACCAGGCTCAGATGCTGAAGGCATGCTGATGGGATTCAGAACACACTGGACCGTTCACCTGTGGAGGCTTCATAGCCATCAGAAGTCCTACGTAGACTGGTTGAGAACATGTCTAGTTGCAGAGGCACAATGACTTGTGAATACTCAATGAAACCTTGAATATATAAGTGGACACAAATTTCAGCAGTTGTGCAGCCTTGAGTCAATCATAGATCCTGTCACCTTGGCCTTAAGTGGCCTATATGGTCATCTGTCCAATCTCCAGGCTGTGCAAGCACCCCTGTATCCTTCCTGAGAAATTCCCCCCAAAGCCCATGTTGTGGGGGTGGGTTCCCACTGGGCTCCTGGCTAGGGCTGAGTCCTGGGAGCTGGCCCGCAGGGCCTCCCCAGTGTGGGGAGGGTGGAGGTGTGGCTGCCGCCCTGGCTGAGCCTGGATTCCTGTGTAGCCCCGACTATGGCCCGTTTTGCCCTATGCTTCGTTCTAGATGTGTCAAGTTTCCGTCCCCAAGAGAACAATGGGCTCCTTGAGTAGGAAAATGACACCACCACCCCCAGGCCCCCCCCCACCCCCAGTTTGTTTTCCAGAATGCACCCCTTGGGGCTGGAGGCACAGGAGCCGCTGAGCACAGAAAGCAAGTGCAGGGATCAGACGAGCAGGGCTCACTCAGGTCCGGGGCGTGGAGCTCCCAGCACGAGGCTTGCACAAGTCATCCACGCTTTGTTTCCCATTTCAGTGAGCGAGTCATGCCCAATTTCAAGGAGTTGAAGGAGTAAATGAAACAGGTAAAAAAGGATGGACGCGAAGTAAAGGTTCCATCGCAGCTGATTAATAGGGACTAGCGCACTCAAGGGGTGCTGGGGCTCCCCTTAGAGTCAACCATATCCTGTCTCGTCCCCATGTTAGACAGGAGGACACCACTTCTCATAACATGCAGGCCCCTAGTCCTCTGGTGCTTTTTCTCCCCCAGGGCCTTTTGGAAAGGCACAGTGCCGCGGAGCAAACACACTAGTGTATCTTCAACCTGCTCGCTCCCCGTCGCGCGCCGGACCCGTCATTCTGCAAATCCCAGGGGCGCTGCGGGGATTGGAGCGTTAGCCCACGCCTGTCCCTCCGCGGCGCGTGCGCTGCGGGCGCGGGGTGCAGCGCGGATCCTAGCTGCCGGGGCTCGTGTTCCCACCGGGCCTTCCGAGCGCAGGACCAGCTTCCGGCAGCTCTGCCGCGTGTGCCTGCGACTTCCGGCCGTTCGTGCGTCTCCGCCGGGGCCATGGGGAAAGTGAGGGGGCTGCGGGCCCGGGTGCACCAGGCTGCAGTGAGGCTCACGGGGGAGCCCGCGGTCGGCCTCGCGCCCCCGGTCCCAGAGGGGGCCCCTCGGCAGACTTCGGCCGTTGGAGTCGGGGGGAAGGTATAGTTGGGGCGCCTGCCGCAGGCGGCCCCGGGCGGTGGGGGTGGGGACGCGGTGAGGGTGGAAGTGGGGCGGGGTCCCCGAGGGCCGGGGTGGGGCCCGGGTCGGCTGGGCCCCGCGCGCTCTGTGGGCGCCCCACCCCCCCGGGAAGGGTCCCCCGCGCCCGGGCCGGCCTCGCGGTGTTGGTTCCGCGAAGCGCGGGGCCCCGGAGGCTCGGCCGCGCGCCGGCCCGAGGGCTGGACCTGCACGGCGCCCGGAGCGGGGCGGGGGAACCCGACAGGGCCCGGGAGTGCCGGCGAACACGGCGGAGGCTCTCTCGGCCGTGGCTGAGCTCCCGGGACGGGGAGGGAGGGTCCCCGCTTAGTGAGAAAATGAGCAGACTGGAGAGACCCTGTGCCCCTGGCGATCACCCCTCTGTCCTCCCGGGCCCAGCCCTAAGCAGCCACGGATCCACTTCCCGTGCCCGTTCCGGACGCTTCACTTGGATGGAGGCGTGGGTTGCGGCCTTCGCGTTTGGCTTCCTGGACCTAGCACGAGGTTTTCCAGGTCCGACGTCGTGTCGGGGATCAGTGCTTCGTTCCCTTTTCGGGGGGAAGGTAGTATTCCTCTGTAAGGAGGGGCCGCAGTCGGCTTATCCAGGTGCTGGCCCTGGAAGCATTTAGTGGCGTCTGTAACCGGGGGGCTGGCCCGGAGACAGCAGAGAAGACCTGGGTGGTCCGCGGGGACCGTGGCTTTGGACCCGAAATGCTAACGAGAACAGCCAGGTTTGTTAAGCGCTCGCTGTGCGTCGGGCGCTTTCCATCCGCCACTGCCCTGACCCTCGTTTTGCAGGTGGAAGAGCTGAGAGTTTAAATAAATTAGCAGGGACCCTCAGCTGCTGATGGGGGCGCTGATGTTTGAACCCAGGGTCTGGCACCAGTGCCCTGGCTCTTATAAAAACTTGATTGAGATGTAAGTCACATGTTATAAAATCCACCCATTAATAGTGTACAATTCAATGGGTATTTTTTTTTTTTTAGTATATTCACCCGGTTGTGCAACCATGACTGCAAATTTCAGAAATCTTCTTCTCTCCAAAAAGAAACCCCATACTTATTATCAGTCGTTCTGGCAAGCGCTAGTCTGCTTTCGGTCTCTATAGATTTGTGTGTTCTGGACGTTTCATATAAATGGAATAATACAGTACGTGGCCTTTTGTGTTTGAGTTCTTTCACTTAGCATGTTTTGGAGGTCCATCCTTGTGGTGTTATTTTTGTAGCATCCATTTCTTTGTCTTCATTCTTCCTATGACTGAAAAACATTCCATTGTATGGACATACCATACCACACCATGTTTTTTATTATCTGTTCCTAAGTTAATAGATACTTAGGTGGTTTCTAATTTTTGGCTGTCATGAATAATATTGCTGTGAACATTTGTGTACCAATTTTTCTGTGGATGTATGGAGTGGAATTGCTGGATCGTATGGAATTCTTATGTTTAACTTTTTGAGGAACTGCCAGACTATTTTATGCAGTGGCTGCACCATTTTACATTCCTACCAGCAATATATGAGGGTTCCAATTTCTCCACATCCTCACCAACACTTGTTATTGTCTTTTTGGTTGTAGCCATCCTAGTGGATGTGAGGTGATATCTCATGGATGTTTTGATTTGCATTTCCCTAGGGGCTAGTAATGTTGAGGTGTCTTTTCATGAGCTTGTTAACTACTTGAATATCTTCTTTGGAGAAGTGTCTATTCAAGTCCTTCGCCCATTTTTAAATTGTGTTGTTGGTCTTTTTGTTGAGTTAGAAGACTTTATATATTCTGGTTACTAAACCTTTATAAGATAGATATGGTTTACAAATATTTTTTCCAATTCTGTCAGTTGACTTTTACTTTCTTGATATTGTCTTTGGAAGCACAAAGTTTTAAATTTTGATGCGGTCCAATTTATCTCTTTTGTTGCTTGTGCTTTTGGTGTTGTTAAAGGTTGATGTCTAGTTGAACAGCACAGGGGGCCTGAGTAGAGTTTGGTCGTGGTGAGAATCTTTGTCAGAAAAAAGATGTCCTTTGGCGGTTGATGTAGAGCTTATGATATACATCAGTATTTCCATCTTGATTCCAGTGAGAGATAGACTCTTCATAGCTGTAAAAATCCATTCCCTCTCATGTCCTCTAGCTATTATTGTTAGTCAAGTTGTGTCTAGATATGTTACAACCCAACCTAAGATTGTTATAATTATTCTTTTATTTTTAACATGTTTACATGTTTTAACATTTTACATGTTTACCCTTTTCAGGCTCCTTGTTTTGTTTTTGTGGATTTGAATTACTGTCTGCTATCATTTGCTTTTAGCCTAAAAAATTCCTTAGTGTTTTTTATAAGTCTGGTCTGCTAGCAACAGCTTCTCTCACCTTTGATTTATCAGGGACTGTCTTTATTTTACCTTCATTTTGAAAGATAGTTTTGCTGGTTATAAGATTCTTGATTGACTTCAGACTTTCAGCACTTTGAATATGTCATCCCACTGCCTTCTGGCCTCCACTGTTCCTATTGAGAAGTCACTGTTACTCTTACTTGGGTTCCCTTGTATGTGATGAGCCATTTTTATTGCTTTCGAGATTTTCTCTTTGCCTGGAAACATTTTGGCTATGATGTGTCTTGATGTAGATCTTGTCTGGAGTTTTTTTATCCTACTTGAAGTTCATTGAGCTTCTTGGATGTGTAGGTTAGTGTTTTCCATCAAATTTGGCAAGTTTCAGCCATTATTTCTTTGAGTATTTTTTATGCTGCTTCCTGTCTTGCATCCTTCCGGCACTTCCATTGCAGGGATGTATGTTGGTGTGCTTGATGGTTCTCCAAGGCGCTATACAAGTTTTTTTCAAGGCTATTCTGTAAGGCTGTTTCTGTTCATTTTTCTGCAAGACTGTTCTTTTTCTCTCTTTTCTTCAAATGGTATAATCTCTATCGATTTGTCTTCAAGTTTGGTGATTCTTTCCTCGCCAGCTCAAATCTACTTTTGAACCTCTATAGTGAGATTTTTCATTTTGGTTACTGTGCTTTTTTACTCCAGAATTTTATTTGATTTTTTTTAATAATTTCTGTCTTTTTTACTGATATTCTCTGTTTGATGAGACGTTGTCGTCATATCTTTCTGTAGGTCTTTAGACACCATCTCTTTTAGTTTTGGGGCCATATTTCTAATGGCTGCTCTGAAGTCTTTGCTGAGTCTATCTGTGGGCCACTCAAAAGCAGCTTCTGTTGCCTAAGTGATGCTTTCCTTTTCTTTTCATGCACCATAACTTTCTGTTGTTGAAACTGTACATTTTAGGTAGTGTATTGTAGTGCCCCAGGGGCTTGATGTTGTTAGCCAGGTCATTTTGTTTGTTTATTGGCCTGGCTCTGAGCTGTGTGAAGTCATTCCACTCTCCCGCCAGTGTGCAACCTCTGATTTTCTGCTCATATTTCTTTCTTGTTTTTATCTTTTAGCCTGGCTTTGTGGGTCAGCTTAAACTACTTATTGGTCAAAGATTGTGCTTAAGCTCCCTTGGCCAGTTATGCGTTTGCCCTTTACCACTGGATACGTGTGCGGCTCAGAGGCTTCCGTCACAGTTTGGCGAGCTTACATTCTTGACCTACCTTCAGCCAGGCGCTAGCAGCTTTGAGATTCCCTCCAGTCTCTCCTGAGCTGGTGCAGCCTTGAGCCTCACACAGCCTCCAGACGGCCATGAACGCTGCTTCCTAGGAGTTACTCATGGGCCAAAGGAGCCCATGTTCAGCCAGTGTTTGCTCAGGGGCTGTGCCTAAGCCCCCGTGCCAGTGGGCCCCTGCCTTGTGTTATGGTTGGCTTGAGGAATGCGTTCCAGTATGCCCTGTCCAGCTCTGATCGCTCCTGAGCGGGGGCGGCCTCGACACAGTGCACCCGGATCTCTGTTGTTTTCAACACTCTTGGGTATGGGGATCTCCACGTTATGTTCCTGATACAGTCAGTCCCCTCAAGCAGAGCCTGTCCACACAAGAGAGGGGTGCAGGAACAGCCTCAGCTTCTCCCTGTTGACACCCCTCTCTACAAGTGGGAGCTGTGGGGTGGCCCCTAGTCTCCCTGACTTGTGAGCACCTCTGCTCTACAGAAGCTGGTGCGGATGGTCAGGACCCGGTGCAGGTGGTCCCTGACTTACAATGGTTTGACTTAGGGTTTTTCTTCTACTTGACGATGGTGTGAAAGCGATATGCATTCGGTAGAAACCATACTTCAAATTTTGAATCGTGGTCTTTCCCAGGCTAGTGATATGTGGTGCCATACTCTCTCAGGATGCTGGGCAGCGACAGCAAGTCGCAGCTCCCAGTCAGCCCCACAGTCATGAGGGTAAAGAACAGGTACACTTATAGCCATTCGCTACCCATCCAACCGTTCTGTTTTTCACTTTCAGTACAGTATTCAGTAAATTACATGAGACATTCAACACTTTGTTATAAAATAGGCTTTGTGTTAGATTAAGTTTGCCCAACTGTAGACTAACATAAGTGTTCTGAGCACAATTAAGATAGGCTAGGCTAAGCTGTGATGTTCAGTAGATTAGGTGTGTTAAATGCATTTTCAACTTAGGATATTTTCAATTTACGATAGGTTTATCAGGATGTAACCCCATTGTAAGTTGAGGAAGATCTGTATTCCTGACCTTCCCTGCCTGAGGGGGAGCTTCTGCCCAATGAATGGGGGTTGGGTGGGGCGGGGGAAAGGAGCCCTGGCTGTCTGGCCTCACCTTCTTGGGTTGGAGCCTGTGCAACATGGTATGTGCAGGGGGCTGGGGGGGGCGTTGCTGGCTGGTGCACACTGCCCACCCTGGACTGGGAGCTGGGGTGAGGAGTAGAGCTCCTGGGGTAGTTTCTGCAAATGGGGGTGGGAGTGGGGATGGAGAAGAGGTCATGGCTCATATGCCATACATTCTTTCTGTTCTTAATGAGATTTATCATTTTCTCCAGTTAAATGGTTGTTGGGGAGACAGTCAGCCACACGCCTCTGCTAGTCCCGACATGGGTTCCCCCACAGCCCCCACTTTTATTCTCTGTGCTGGCCAGACCACGTGGGATTCCCCCAGCAGATAAAATCCTGCTGAAGACAAGACTACGGCCAAAATTATAAGGAAACAATCCACCATGGGCGAGAGTCAGCAGAAAGAATAAGCATCAGAATTAGACTGCTGTGAAGTTAGAAAATAGGATTATCTGATAGAGACTACAAAATAAGTGTGTCTAAAATATTAAAGACATAAAGGAATCAAGTAAGAGAAAGGAATGCAAGAAAACCTTACAAAGACTAGGTGGATTTGGAGAAAAACAATAAATAGACCTTGTATAAAGGAAAAGAGTAATCCTTGAACTTTAACATGGAATAGAGAGTTAAACAGAATGCTGATTTCTAGTCACATAAAGAGATGGTGATCCTTGACACACATTTTAACAATGTGACATCAGCACCTGTTATAGGAAGCTCCTAAAACGTGGAGTAATGAGATGGAAAGTGCCACTCTGGAAAATGTCCAATGAACATTGTGGAAAGAAGTCGAGGACGGGCTGTGTACAGACTTACACGTGTGACCTGAGTCTGCACTCGTCCCCTTATCTTGCCCTGAGGTCTCAGCTGAGAAGGCCCTCCCTGCTCAGCGCTCCCCGCACACCTCCCAGCCCCAGTGCTGCTCCCTGTGTGAGGTCTCTGAGGTCTCTTGTTTGCTGACTGTCTCTCCCTGTCCTGGAACTCCCCAGGAGCGAGGGCTCTCGGGCTGCTGTCCAGCTCAGCACTTTCTTGGCACTTGGGCTGGTTTCTGCCTTACTCCAGTCCTGTTTCTTGGTCTGTGACTCCTCTGGGGGTTGATGCTGTGGTCCTTCCCGAGCCCCTGGCCTGAATCTGGAATAAGCCAGATGGGCATGGGGGGTGGGGTCTGGGTTAGCACAGTGTGATTGCAGAGTGACCTGGAGGGTTTTGAAATCTTGATGCAGGATGAATGTGGGTTGGAAGCAGACCTGGAAGCGAGATTGCTGAGATGGAACAAGGGTGTGAAATGGGAGAGTGCTGCAGAAAGAATAGGAGTAAGATGCAAGGTTTGGAAGGAAATCTGGTTCCTGTCACAAGTGCTTGTGAATATTAAGATTGTAATTCGTAATCGATACTGATCCTGAATCAGGTCTAAGACGGTTCTGGACCAGGAGCAGAACCCATCTGGTGATTTGAGGTTGGCAGGAAGGAGTGCCACCTTAGAGCTCTGAGATCTGAGCTCCAGTGGCCTCAGCCTCCACTCTGGGGAGTACGGGTTGTTTCCCCAGTTCTTCCTTCGTGGAAGCTGGATCTGGTCCTCGACCATCATGAGGTCCTCCCTGAGGGGCCTCCCTGCCCGGGACTGGCTTGCATTTCACCCTGAAACCATGGAGCGAGTCTTACGTCTCCTGTCTTTCCTTTGTAGGAGTGGGCTTTCGTGAACACTGATATCTTTGCCAGGACCAAGATCGACCCCAGTGCCTTGGTGCAGAAGCTGGACCTGGACGCCAGGAGCGTTACTTCCATCAGGAAAGGTGAGAGTGAGTGAGGCAGACCATAGGGTTCGGGTGTTCCCAATGCAGGGGCACGCTGGCTTTGAGATTGTTCATATGCATGGGCCATAGCAAATTCCAAGTTTGCCTGTTCATTTTTAAAAGATTTTTTATTAATGGAAAAATTTAAAGATATACTAAAGTAGAAAGAATGGTATCAAGAAATCTGTGTATCCATCCTGTCACCTGCCTTCAACACACGTACTGGAGTATTTTGAAGCAAACAGCATTTCATTCATGAATTCTGTAGTGTATATTCCCAAGGGCTCTTAAAAAAGACATAAACATACCTGTAATGCCGTTATAACACCTGAACAAATTAGTAGGAATTCCTTTCTGTGAAATAAATGTGCCGTGCTCACGTCTTTGTGATGGCTTTATAAAAGTTTCTTTGTAAAAGTCAGGGTGCAGACAAGGGCTCCACGCCACGCTGCAGCCCCTCCCCACCTTTCGCCTCCATGTGTTCGTGATGTGGCGGAGGTCCTTTTTCCCACTGCACTCCGCTTATTTTGGATTTTGCTGGGTACATTCTCCTCGGGTCTTTTAACATGTTTCTCTGACCCAACCGACGTTCTTGGCCAGAGCCTCCTGTCTGACTGGGCCCTTGAGGTGGAGAGCGGCTCTGCTGCACGGGCGTCCCCTGGGAGGGGGACTGAGCCCCTGAGGCCTGGGCGGGCCCACTGCCTCCACTTTGTGGAGAGAGGCCTTATGAGCCCGTGTGAGCTGCACAGTATGGCTGAGTGTTTTCCCAACATAGCGGTGTGCTCAGGGCACTCAAGCCCTCCAGGCTACTTGCTCTAGTCTTTTTGTAATCCTGCTATGCTTTTACCTTGTATCTTTTTAGTTGGTTTAATTCTACTGTACGTTTTCTTGTTTGGATTTGTAAGGAGCTGTCCTTGTCTAACTGCTGTAACACTCATTCTTTGTGGCCCTATGGAACTCTCTTGAACAGATGTACAGACTTGTCTTAACTTGGATAATTAAGCAGCATCCAGGTTTTTAGTATAATTTTTTCCGGATTTCCATCTGTGGTTTGTAAACAACTCTTAGAGTTATAAGTTGTAATTAATTCACAGGTACGGTTTATAGCAAGCATTTTCTGCGCGGTTACGTTGTTTACATCATTGCTTTAGATTTTTTATTATTTCACTGGGGAGACGTATCTGAATCTCCTTGCCATCATTTGTGCATTGAAACTGTCGAGAGGAAGAACTTTTCCCTTCTACCGTCCTAGGTTCTTTGGCTAGGACCCTGGAAGTTAGATTAACAAAAGAGATTAACAAGAGAAACATAGTTCATTAATGAGCACACATCACTCAGGAGAAACCACAGTGATGAGTAACTCAAAGGGGCGGTTGGACTTGGACTTCTAGAGCATCTTAGCAATGAACAGTAATGGAGTAGCAGTGGGGTAGGTTAGTCTGTGCGGGGACGTCCTGGCGCGTCCCCCTCACGGCCGTCAGACTCCCCGGGAGAAGCGTTCGTGACAGTCCCGGTTCCTCAGAAACTTCTATTTCTGGTCAGATGAGGGCAGTTCCGGGAGGGCCTCTTCCTGCGTCAGTGGCCTGTCGGCCTCCAGCTCACGCCATCCTCGGCCGAGCTGCGTGTTTGGGCAGTGCGTCCGCGTCCTTCTTGGACCCTCCCGCGGACTCTCCTGGAACAGGTCCTGCGGAGTGGACCGTGTGCAGGACCGGGTGGGGGACGGCGCCGCCCTGCATCCCGCCAGGGTGGGCGGGCTGTCCCGGGAGGCCCAGCCACAGGCACTTGGCTTCCCTGGTGACCAGCGGGGTCAGAGGTCGTCTGTGTGTGGGCTGATTCTCTGCGGGTTTGTGTGTGTGGGGCGGTCGTGATTGCCCCCGTGACACGCGGCCGAGCGCTCTGCGTGTGGTGGAGCTCAGCTCGTTGTCACTCGTACAGAACTCTTTGGGGGCTTCTCAAGCTGCCCCTGAGTTCTTCTCTGGAGAGCTGGCACGTGCCATCTTCTGCCGCTTCCGCCGTCGGCTACTGCGGCCTCTCTCTCCCTCCCCCCTCCCCTGGGGGTCGTGGGGCCAAGTTGGCCCTCTGCCCGAGGGCCGCCCTGCCTGTTGGGAGTGCGCCCACCCTGGAAGGTGGCGTTCTCTCTAGCCGCGCAGGCTGAGGGCTCCGCGGTGTGGGAGGGCAGCCGGGTGGGAGATGGAACTTCTGGGCTCACGGAGCGCTCACGCCTTCGTTTGTCCCTCACAGTGTCCTCCTCCGTGAGTGTCGTGTCTGTGGGTGAAGGGATGAAGAAATGCAGCCCCGAGGGGGCGGGGGTCACTCAGCCTGGAGTGGCCGAGCCCAACAAGACCCTGTCGTCTCAGGGAAGCGCCGGGCTCTTGCCATTCGGACTTCCTCGGACTTTCCACCCTGGTCCTGGGGCCGGGGGGACGTGCTGCTGAGCACGTGGCTTTCTTTCCTGTGGCGGCTGACACACGTCCCCTCAGTGTGAGCCGTGTCCATTGAGGTGGAGGACACGGGGATTCCCACTTACCCGAGAGGGCAGGCCCTGCAGGGAAGGGGCCCTGAGGAGGACGGGCCAGCTGGGGTCTCCCTGGTCCCTGGGCCCCCAGCCCAGCACTGGCCTCTGGCCTGCCTGTAGTGGGGTCTCCAGGAGGGGTGACCCCAGGTGCAGACCCCAGGCAAATAGTGGGAGAAGCCATCTGTGCTACAGCCAGTGTCCCTGAGCAGCAGTGTGAGGGAATGGAGGGGACAGAGCCTTAATTTGGAGTCACAAGACCTGCTTTGAGCCTGGGTGTTCTTTCGGCTGCTGGATTTTGGATTGTCTTGTTTCACTGCCCGCAGCCCCTAGTTCATCATCCGCCAGGTGAGCTGCTGTCAGCCGGACAGGTGTGCCATGTGGACCTGCCTGGGACTTGTCCAGGGCTCCTTCAGCCCTGCTAGCCAGGTGACACATCCATGTCATGAGGGGCTGGTGCAACTTGTCCCTTTACCCAGATGAGGATGTGATAGAGGGGAAGTGAAGCGGCAGTGTAGGGGCCGGTCCCTCACTTTGCCGAGCTCAGAGCCATGAGGCCGCACCTGGGAATGGGAGTGATGTCAGGCTTCCCGCTGGCACCGCTGCAATGGTTCCCTGTGGGACATGGTCACAGCTCCCTGTTTTCCCCCTTTCCTCCCCTCTCATCCACGCTGCACCTGTGCAGAGAGAGCCGCTGAGGCTGTGCATGCATCTCAGGGCCGCCCTGGCCTGCACCAGCATCGCTGGGGCCCCATCCCAACCTGGTGAACCCTGTCTTCACACACCCTCCAGGGCCTCTGATACTGCCAAGTTCAAGACGCTGGCCCAGAGCTTCGTGGGTCCTGCCTCACAGCCAGGAGCACAGAAGCCCCTCCCATCTCCTCGCGTCTCTGCCTGAAGATCCTGGAGCCTGGATGGACCCTCTGGGTTCTGAGCCGTGCACGGCCAAGTCCTTCCTGATCTGGTCAGGAACTTGGAGCCTCTGCAGCTCCAGTGGGTATCCCCGAGGTGGCAGTGCCGTGGTGCATCGGCTGACCTGCCAGCGGATCCAAGACTTGCATTCATGGGAGTGTCTCAGTGCTCAGTGGACAGAACTCAGTTACGCCTGCGCCTTCATACCGAGTCTGAGGGGTTTTAGAAAATTCCAGGTGGCCCCTGCCAAGGCAGGCGGGGTTGTTGCCTGCCCAGGGAGCATGGGCAGCTGGAAAGAGCACGAGGTCACTTCCTGGCAGAGGGAACATTTTTAAAGTCTTTGACAACCTGGGGGGCATAGGCCTGAAAACCAGGGGTCGGGGAGAGGGCGCGAGAGAAGGGAGGAAGGGGGGGACGATTGGTCAGGCAGTTGTGGCCACGAGAGGAGAGGAGAGAAGCTCGGGTCAAAAATTCGGTTTATTGTACTCACAGGTCCTAGAGAAGGAGACCCAGCACGCAGGGCCACGTGGGGGAGGCCCCACGTGGTCAGGAGGCAGAAGACGGGAATCGGCTAGCCCCCAGGAGGGAGTCTCTCCACAGCTGGAAATGTTTTTTTTAGGATGTCAAAATGTCATACAGAAAGCTAGAAAAGTATTTATGGAAGGAGAGGGCCTGGACTGCGGGGTGCAGAGCTCAGGGCGCCGGCATTGTGAGCTCTGTGGCCTCCCACTCGGCAGAGCCCTGAGAGCCTGGAGAAGAGTCCTGGGTCCTGGGGCCCCTAGGAGGTGGGCAGGCAGCCTGAGGCCGAGCTGCTGACGGTGGTTAAGAGCATGCGCAGCGGGCGCTCGGGAGCCGTGGGGCTCTGTGCAACCCCGGCTACTGGCCCTCGGGCAGGGCACTCATCTGTAAAAGGGATGTAAAAATAGTATCTGCCTCCTAAGTTTTGCCTGCTTTGGGTTAAGATGAGTTAGTGGATGTGAAATGTTGGAAACGTGGCTTGGCTTAGTGAGTGGTCAGTTGATGCTGCAGAGGTGACCGGCTATGTGTCCCTTTGAGGGAAGCCCCTTCTCTGCTGGCCCGAGGGGTCCCCGGGCAGGTGTCTGTGTCTGGGCCTCTCCCCACCCACTCCTCCCTCTTCTGCAGCAGCTCTTCTTTTGTTTTGGCGTTTGTCAGCCTTGCCTCCTGATAGGCCAGCACCCTGGAGCCCGCCGGGGGATGATGGGCCTTGTGGCTTCCCTGGGCTTGAGCTGGGGCAGGTGGCCTGGTCCAGCTGCAGGTCATGTAGAAAGTGGCATCTGGTGACTCAGCCGCTGCTCAGTGACCAGCTGGGCCATGACGATGAGGGTGCCTGTCTGCTTGGATTATTGGGGATGCGTCTTTCCCTCGTGTGCTTGCCCCGGGCTGAGTCACCGATAGAAGTGTTCCGCGAGTCCCTGACCGCTGTGCCCCTGCTGTGCAGCCACTGTGGTCCGGAGGAGGCCAAGCCCGCTCAGAGAGGGGCCCTGGCCTGGTTGTGGGCCCATCACCAGGGGTGGACCAATGTCCGCTGTGTGTCCCCCCACGTGCATACTGTGGG